CCCCTTCTCTTTTTTTCCCCACTCAGTACCTGTGATTTGCGTCAGTTCTGTCACTCTGGCCTTGAGGCTCTCCAGCTCCCCCTGCAGGCTGGGCAGGGAGGCCAGCTCAGCGCGCAGCCGCTCGTTCTCCTGGGCCAAACCCCCTCCTTCCTCCAGCCCGCGCAGGGCCAGCGCCAGCTCCTCCTTCTGGGCCTGGCGGAGAGGGAGAAGCTCTTTCAGAGACCGCCTGCAGGGTCAGCTGTGCGCCAGGGCGCGGCGCCTGAGACCACTCCGGTGCCGACCTGCAGCTCAGCCTGCAGCAGGGTTATCTGCTGGTTCTCCTGGGCCAGCTTGTCTAGCAGAGAAGCCATCAACTGCGCCGACCGTGGGTCCGGGGCAGGACCGGTTTCGTCCTGGAGCACAAGGCACAGGAAGAGAGAAGAAAACAGAAGGACAGATTCATATGAAAGAGCAGAACCACTGACTGCAGGGTTATATTGGCAAACAGTCTGGGAACCCTCCGCAGTTCACGACTGCTCGTCACAGATGTCACACTGAGCTGGGCTTATGGATTCTGGACTGGCATCCAAACAGAAAGAGAGGGATGGAAAGGGGGAGGAGGAGAGATGAACACTGACCTGCTGTCCATAAAGATCCTTCTCATGCAGTTCCCTCAGATCCACCTCCTCATCCAGCCCTAAGGGAACACAAACAACACAGAGTCTATAGACAGAGACCCACGTAGGCAGTCACACAGCGTTGCAGGTCCGTGCACAGGGGTGCTACAGAGTCACACAGGCGTGTGCTCACCTGTCTCCACTGAGGTGCACATACTGTACAGTTGAAAGAGCTAGACAGGGCTTCAATCCAGAGCATGTCACTCTTCTACTGCGCCACACAGGTAACGTTCAGTGATACACCTGACAGGCCAGTGCAAAGGTGTACAGTGGTATGCGGTGCGATACACCAGCGCTCATAAGGAGAACGCTCACGCCAAGCTAATCAGACGAGCGGTCACCAGCTCCAGACCAGGGGACACAGCCTTGAGAGGGTTTCTAGGTCTCCTGAATCGCCATCAGCTTCAGAGGGGTTACACCTGCCAGATCTCCTCCCTACAAACCCGGCCAGCCCACAGCTCCCTGGAGAGTGAGGCTGAGCTTAGTGAGGTTAGTCTGCGGCTCTAGGAGGGTCACATGGCCTCTCTCATCGTCCACCAGGACATCTGCTGACACAACACTGTTTGGAAGAGGCAACGGTAGCTACTGCAGCAACAATAAATCCGCCCGCGACCGCCATCGGCCACAAATGAGCCTCTGCCGAGAGTCTGGAAGGAGCCACACAGTAGCTAATATTCACTGCTTGTGCGGTCATGGTGCTTATAAAGTCTGGCTAGTTGCAGCCAGAAACTGCTACCGGCTCTAGCTCTTGAGAGAGATCCTGAATCAAGTTGCTAAATTTGGTACTTTCTCTCACACGCACACAGACGAGAACAGATTACTCTCCCAAGTGCACAGCAGTCTGATCAACCCCTGGATCCTCCGACAGACAGCACTGTAAAACGTCACTGCAGTGGATCAGACTGCTGCGCACAGAGAGTCGGTTTCCGGACATGTGCAGCGCTCACCGGAGAACAGGATCATCCCCAGTCCCAGCAAGAGCAGGGCTCCCACGATGCACTTGTTCAGGGAAAGCCCAAGTCCCCCTTCCCCCTCCTTCCTCCACGCCCTCTCTTCCTCCTGATCCTCCTCTTCCTCTTCCTCCTCCTCCTCCTCTCCTCTCCCCAGGTGGTGTGTCTTCCGTCTCCGGAGGCCTGCCCCAGTCTCCGGGTCTGAATCCGATTCTGCTGGTGAGAGGGAGACACTGGATGAACAGGGACACCAATCAAGGAGGACAATCAGGTTAAAGCCTGGAGTGGATCAGACAGCAGCGCACTGGGAGTCCGAAGGCCATGTGTATGTAGTTGTGACAATTGTAGCTATAAGTGCTATAAGCTAGAGTAGAAAAGTTTAGATACCATGCATCAGTTATTATTAGGATTTTAATCGGACTCCCAGTCCACTGCAATCTGATCCAGGTTTTATAATAGCAGTGCCGGCAGTAGAAAAAAAAAGCAACTTCCCAAAACTTTATTTTAATTAAACCTGTACAGGCAGACATGTCAAAGGAAAAGATCTTGCATCTGTCCTCTTAGAGATTACACTTTGCTGCAAACACAAAATGCAAAGCACCAAACTGCTATGCAAATGCATCGTCATCTCCATACTCCCGTTCAGGCCAGCTGCGCAGTGGGAGAGCCATTCTCGGCAAAAGCTACTTGCCCGCTCTCTTCAGGGGGCTGCAGTCTGACCCACTCCAGGTTTTACTGTAAGCTGCAGGCTGGATGTTTCAGGCTTGTTGACTGGATTTCAAAGGCAAGGCACATGGAATTTAAAAACCTGTGTAATTTATGTACACGACAGCTAAGAAAGGGTTCAAATGAGAGCATTCAGACTGCTCCACGCTTCCACCACTCTTTGTGTAATCACGTTCCTCCTGTTTCTTACTGCTAGTAAACCCCAGAGTGTACTGCTCTGCTGTGCTCCAGGCATCCGATCAAAAACACACTGCAGCTGACATCTGTCACGAAGACTTCATGCAAAGTTCAAAGCAGATGCTTTGTAAATGGTGGGAAACTCACACTAGTCTCTCTGCTCAGATCAACACACAAACACTGCTGTAAAATACGCACATTAACACCCCTTCATCAGATCTGCAGAGTAACTGTACAGACACTCAGTCTAGCTCCTCTATATCTTCACATTAACACTCCTTCATCATCATCAGAGCTGAAGAGTAACTGTAAAGACACTCAGTCCAGCTCATCTGTATCTTCACATGAACATTCCTTCATCATCATCAGAGCTGAAGAGTAACTGTACAGACACTCAGTCCAGCTCCTCTGTATCTTCATATTAACACTCCTTCATCATTAATCAGAGCTGTAGAGTCACTGTAAAGACACTTAGTCCAGCTCATCTATATCTTCACATTCACACTCCTTCATCAAAACTGAACAGCAAACACACCTAAGACACTGCTTATCTGTTGTCTGCACAACAGAATAGAGTACTCAGTACCAACACAAGCAACAGTGAAATACAATATTACGTCCTCTATTATTAATTAAAAACATGAAGCGTATACATGATGCAACTCAAGCACCGAACAGGATAACTAACAAATGGACAAACTGCTGTCCTTTCATTTGGTTTTACACTGAACACGAAACATAGAACATGCTTCTCCACCAATCAGCATGCAGGCTGCTGCACAGGCACTGCCTACCAGTACCTCTTCCTCCTCGTCCAATCAGCCGCTTCCCCCATCTACGGAACCCTGACAGGGTCAGGCCCCTCAGCAGCGGAGCCACCAATCGCACTTCAACACAAACACACCACACTTCATCAGCCAGCCAATGACTGTGAGCAGGGGGAGGGGCTATTTAATGACAGACATTGGAATACTGAGAACCCTCTCTGCTCCTCCGGTCTCCTCCCTCTCTCCCTCACCCCATCTTCCTCCCAGACCCCCCCTCTCCCCAGCCTGCTCCCTCCCCTGTACCTGCTTGCTTTCCAATCTCATCAACCTTCCTGGACAGCCCTGGGCCCTCCCCTTCCTCCTGGTGCCCCTCCTCTTCCTGTGGCGAGGAGGCGGGCACAGTCACGACGTTGGAGTCCGGGCCGGGGCTGGGGCTGCTCTCGCTGTTCCCCGTCGCCGTCTCCTGGCAGACCTGGGCATGACAAAGCACACGTTTGAAGTGGCAGTCTGGGGAAAGCCTGCTCCCGGCAGGCCATGGACCTTGAGCGCACTGGAACGGTGAGGATCACACTCGCACGCCTCACACTCGCACGAGAAGAAACGAAAACAAAGTTTCGGCTGTGGAGCCTTCTTCAGGTGAAGCAGAAACTTTGTTTCTTTTCTTCTCTTTTCAGCGTGGAACAAACCTTCACTGGTCCCTTTGCAACGCTCATTTTTGGCACTGAGGACAGAACCAAAAAGAGGACTCATTCTGCTACAAGATCTTTCACGCATCGCTCGTCTACTGTGGGTCAACGGCAGCTGGGACAGAACAGCACGGCACCGCCGCTCCTGAAGTGACAAACACCACCCCCAGCACCAGGCGCCAACCAGTCCCCCCCCCAGTCAAGAGCGGGGCTCACCTGCAGCCCCTCCGCAGAGCGCGTCTCCCCTGCCCTCAGCCCGGCGATGCCAGCCTCCTCCTCCTCCTCCTCCTCGGCGGTCTCTGACAGGAGACACACGCAGAGTGATCACGGACCAGGACAGCGCACTCCCACACACACACAGTGGCCAGATTATGAGGAACCCCAGACACACACCCCCACCCTCAGCGCGCAGGTGCAGGGGGTGCGTGGGGAGTCCCGAGGAGCAGGATGCCTCTTGCTCGGATCCATGCCCGGTTCTCAATCCCATTGGAAACAAAAAAAATCGATGTATTTGAAAATAAGCCGCAGGCTTGAACTGAAATTTGTGAAAAGGAATATGGCTTATGGTCTGGAAAATAAGCTCCTGACGTCAGGCATTAAGTTATCAAGTTATCTTTACCTTTCAGCTCCTCCGCGGAGCTTTGGTCCGCCACTGGAGGACCATCCGTCCCATCATCCCCTGGGCCCACATTCTCCACCACAGAGTCCTGTGAAAAGACAACTGTTGTGAGTGAGGTCAAAGGTCACAGTGAGGTGGTCACTAGCCGGACGAGAAATTTGGATCTCACTTTTCTAGCCACGAAGAGCACATGCCGTTTAATTCAGAAACTAATGAATTCTCGGGCGTGATTAAGCCTCCCTTGAATGACACCAGTCCTCTGTTCCTCCAGCTGACTATTTAAAGTAGTGATGGGGAGCTTCAGTCTCAGACTGTCCTATGTCTGCCAGTACCACTCAGATCAACCTCAGTCAGCTTGATGCTGGTTTACTGTACAATTCAGGTTCTGGAGAACAAACACCGGGCCCTGCTGGACCAGGACCGGTCTTACAGAGAGCTTCAAACCCAGGGGACACTGCCCCAGCTCCGGAGGACCAGAGGCAGTCCTTAATGACATCACTGACCTCATCACCAGTGTTCTGCAACTCTGTTCCTGCCTTGGTGAGCTTTAAACTCTGGCAATGCTGCTGTATGAGGTGTATGGTGCTAGTGGCATCCCTGCATACCTCTGGGGTCAGAATGGTCCAGTTGTTCGAGGAGCCATTGGTGCTGCTGCCACTGTTGGAGTTGTCATCCATCGCTCCCTAGTGGCTTCCCCCTAGTACTGCAGGAATGAGACACCGTGATTCCACACCTCTGGGTCAAGACCAGGCACAGAAGGGAGCATGCACAAACACAGCTGACAGAAAACTGTGGTCTCCACAAGACTGATCTCCATCTAGACCACTCGTTCCACTCTGCTGTCGTGAGCAGCGAGTTTTTTTTTACAGCTAGTTCTCCTCTTCGACTCGTGTTGAAATAACAACATTAACTTGGCCTCAAGGGTTGGTAGTTAACCCGGTGAAACAGTACCCTCTCTCCACCGGGCTCGACCTCCCTCAGCCCGTCTCTGTCTCCTCCTGCTCAAATGACCATAAAAGGCCAGACTGTCCCAGAACACAGCAGCTTCTCGGCTCTCTCTCTCTCACTCACACACTCTCACACACACACACTTCTGGCCAGAGCATGACGCTCGGGCTTAAACTCAGCGCTGCCGAGCTCCGGCGCACCTAGTCACACGCAGTATTTACAAAGCAGCCCAGCTGCCTGACCAGACAGCAGGTACAGCTCTTCCGCGTTTGCTTTGAACACGAAGAAAGTGCTCACAGCCGCAGAGGCGCACCGTTATATACTGCTTGCCCGCATCTGTTGTTACCGAGAAAATATTGGTCCCACAACAGCTAAAGCGCAGGTCCCGGAAACAGGAGTAAGAGCGCTGTTTCTGTGCTTCGTCTCCTTCGCAGCCATATTTCTGATATTTTTAGACGTCGCCACAACACAGAAAACATCAACATTTAACACAAATTACCGCACTCCCGTTATTAGCCGAAAACAAAGTCACTCCAGGCGTTTCTGTTATCCTTCGCTAACTTCCCCTCGTCGCTGCAAAGTTTGGATTTCTGATCTGCGTTAGGAGAGGGGGAAGCCACTCTCGTCCAATAGGAGACCAGGTGTCGCCCAGGCCCCACCCCTTCCTCGGCGCTCCGGCCAATGAGCGGGCAGGTCGCGGGTGAGTCAGCAATAGCGGAGTCGCGGAGGCTGTGATTGACAGGGGCAGGTGTGAGTGACAGCTGAGAGAGGGGCGGGGGGGGTTTTCACAGCTCAGTCACTCATCTCGACCCAGAAATAAAGAAACCGAACAGCTGAGCAGACCCACGTCATCTGCGAGCAAGAGCCTGGTGACCATGGCATCCGGCGGTTTTAAACAGGTTTCTGCTGGAAATGGCGTTTTTTAAAGTATCTCTTCCAAAAGATCCAGAACCCATCCTGTGCATAACTCTTCTAGCCTGTCCAAGAGAGCAACGGGCACAAAGCAGGGTACACCCTGGACAGGACACCAGTCCATCATAGGACACACAGACACACACACACCCTGGACAGGACACCAGTCCATCACAGGACACACAGACACAGACACACACCCTGGACAGGACACCAGTCCATCAGTCCATCACAGGACACACACACTCTGGACAGGACACCAGTCCATCACAGGACACCCAGATACAGACACACACACACCCTGAACAGGACACCAGTCCATCACAGGACACACAGGTACAGACACACATACCCTGGACAGGACACCAGTCCATCACAGGACACACAGATACAGACACACAGACCCTGGACAGGACACCAGTCCATCACAGGACACACACAGGACTAGTTTTCCTTCTTCCACCCTGCAGCCCCGGATGAACATGGACTGTGAAATTATTCACCGGCCTGAACCAATCAACAGCACCCGAAATCCCGTGCGGCCCCTTCCAGAGCACAGACATGGAGGCGACTGCTCGCGGGGAGGATATGTGAACGCCCTGCGAGAGCTGTCGCATGGGAGGAGGGGGTGGTGGGAAGACAGATTAGCTATGCGCGCTGCTGTGGATCTCTGTAGAGCCTGGCTGTGGCGCTGGTCCGTCTGGGCGGAGCCTGCATGTTAGCATCTCCAGGCGCTCCACTTCCCGGTGCGGAGCTGATCCACTGCAGACCCCGCTCGCTGGCCAGTGCCCACCGGGTCCGAGCTGCTTTTCCTGGGAGCGGCACAGCTCTGGTCCTCCCCTGTGCTGCAGGGATCCTCCAGCGTCTCACCAACGGAAAAGCTTCAGCTTGTCCGCTTAAGCAATGGATGAGTATAATATATAATCAGGCCCAGGGCAGGGACAGGCCCACACTGTCTGGCCCCCCAGAAATCCTTGGATCAGCTGTGCAGGGCCTTACACAGACGATACGCAGGCGGCCAAGGAGGTATTCAGGTTAATTGTTTAATTGCTGGAAGGGAGTGGGCCCCTGCTGGGCTCAGGCTGAGCTCTGCAAAGCATCTTAATTAAACTATTAATTGACTCAATCACGTCACCCAGCCTTGTGCTGAAACAAACTCAAGTCCCTGGATCTGCAGAGCCCTGTGCTGGACGCTCTGGGAACTGATCGGGAATGGATCGGATATTTCCTATTTCCGTACAGTGGTTGGGGATTTTACCCTTCTCTCTTCCTGTAACTCAGGGGCGCCCTCTGGTTTCCTGGTCCGACCTGAGCAGCCAATTAAGCAATTAACATCACTACTCTATGAGACGAAGGATTTTTCTAATAGAGAAAAAGTTTTTTTGGGGGGGTTTAAAGTCGATTACACAAAATCAGACCCTTCGGTAAAAGTCATTACCTTTCAAACACCTTCAAGTCTGGTGAGAAGAATTAACGATGATGCAGTTGATTAAACAATTAGAGTAAGTACACCAGTGAGATCGACTGGGACACACACCAGGAGCCACGGGCCTGCAGGACTGGACTGGGAGACCATGCTGTAACTGCAGGTCGTCTCGGATAGAGGCGTCGGACGACGTTAACTCACGACCCAATGAAGACGAGTCCCAGGGTTGAGTATAAAATGAGTGGCTCCCTCTTTACTTGGTTTGAACAGTACCTTTATATACAAGCTCCCTCTGGGTAACTCCAGAGAGCGACAGTAAGAAAGCTTTTACCTCTTTAATACAGGAGTAGTACAAAATAGAAACGGTTATAGGCCGAGGTCAGACAGGCAAGGCCGAGGTCAGAGGTCAGAAAGACCATAGAGTCCATAACACCATCTTCCATTCTATTTCAGCTTCCCAATGGGAATGTTACTCCAAAGGATTTTACACTAGGAAAAAGCATGGAATGATAACTGAGGAATGGTCGGTATTCCCTTGTAAAACATGTTATAACTTGGGAGTTCCCAGTTCTGCCCCTTGATGAACCACAATCTCTCCAGTGATCTCTGGACTGTAGGGTTACAGTGTGACCCAGACTGGACCAGTGATCTCTGGACTGTAGGGTTACAGTGTGACCCGGCCCAGACTTGACCAGTGATCTCTGGACTGTAGGGTTACAGTGTGACCCGGCCCAGACTGGACCAGTGATCTCTGGACTGTAGGGTTACAGTGTGACCCGGCCCAGATGGAGAGCCATGTATCTTATTTGATCCCATCTAATTGAATGTAGATACTGCTAGAGGCACTGCTGTCCCTCTCCTCTCACAGTCCCCTGAGTGGACAGTAGATGAGGTCTGTAGTGCTGGGATAGTGGGTGGAGTTGGGTGGATGCTCTGGGGTTCAGGGCTTGGCGGAGTCTGGCTCTGGTGCAGCTGTGCTTCACTTCCAAGTCCTGCCTGATCTCTCTGCATGCCGGTCACTCAGTGAGCGCGTCTGTCCCTCAGTGGATCAGTCAAAGGGTCAGCGTGTGTGTCCCTCTGCAGGTCAGGGGGTCAGTGTCCATTCCTCAGCTGGTCAGAGGGTCAGCGTGCCTGTCTGTCAGCCGGTCAGTCAGAGGGTCAGTGTGTCCATTCCTCAGGCGGTCAGCCAGAGGGTCAGCGTGCCCGTCCCTCAGCCGGTCAGCCAGAGGGTCAGTGTGCCCGTCCCTCAGCTGGTCAGCCAGAGGGTCAGTGTTTCCATTCCTCAGGCGGTCAGTGTGTCCATTTCTCAGCCACTCAGTCAGAGGGTCAGTGTGTCCATTCCTCAGCCGGTCAGCCAGAGGGTCAACGTGCCCGTCCCTCAGGCAGTTGGTCAGAGGGTCAGTGTGTCCATTCCTCAGGCGGTCAGTGTGTCCATTCCACAGCCGCTCAGCCAGAGGGTCAGTGTGTCCATTCCTCAGCCGGTCAGCCAGAGGGTCAGCGTGCCCGTCCCTCAGCTGGTCATTCAGAGGGTCAGTGTGTCCATCCCTCAGGCGGTCAGCGTGCCCGTCCCTCAGGCGGTCAGCCAGAGGGTCAGTGTGCCCGTCCCTCAGCCGGCCAGCCGGCGGGTCAGCGTGCCCTCTAGCCGTCGTTGGCGGCCACCAGCTGGCCCAGGCCCTCGCGGATGTAGACGGACTGGATCTCCTTGGTCTTGAGGCAGAAGTCGCAGGCCCAGACGGCGGCGCTCTCGCGGGTCAGCAGCCCGTAGGCGGTCTCCGTCATGCCCGTGCAGTCGCGGTGGAACCACTTCTGGCACGAGGCCTCGCACAGGATGGCGTCCTGGTCGTCGTTGACCTCCGACAGGCAGAACCCGCAGGGGAACACGAGGCCGCCCGCGCCCTTCTGCGCGGTGGGGCCGCTCCCC